AAAAAATGGTCACATTGCACTCAAAATGCCAAACGCACGTGGAAATTTTCATACCTATAGATGAGTAAAAAAGTACAAAACTGCGCTCAAGTGTATGCACTCAACACACTACGATAGCATGTGTTGTAGCTTTTTTGGCCGCTTGCGCAGAGAAGCCTTTTGGAACGCTGCTGTCTCGCATCTATTATTTCCTGTATCGAATGCACAAAACCTTAACTCATTGACGCCGGTGGCCGCCCATATGGGCTGCCAACAGCATGTGCTTCTGGGACGATGGCAGCCCGTATGGGCTGCCAGCCTAATAATCGCCTGCTAGACGCTACAGATGGAAAAGATAGGTGATCAAGTCTCGTGATCGAGTTCAAAATGCTCTTAAATTCCTTCACGGGGAGTGACTACAGGATGGCTAAAAAATTTGTCTGTAAACATAAGAGGTGCCTGTTCAATTTCCCCATTTTTAAAAATCCCAGGAGTTTCTGATGGAATATATTCCTATGTCAGTTTGTTCTGAATAGCTCAGTGTTCTTTTTTTGATTTCGTCACATGAAATATATCCACTCCGGGATGGACAGCGTTTTAACTCCTTGAGAAACAGTCACTACTTAGCACGAACTGTTTGATTGTGTTGCACTGCATGAGGGTTTAGAAGCTCTTTTGAAACCTTCATCGGCCACCATTACGAAGTTCAATAGGCTAGTTACCAGCGCCAATAGGCCTGGACCTCAGAGGATTGTTTCTGCGACTTCACGAGTAATATCTCGAAGATACGTGCGAACAAGCGCTGGAAGCTAGCTGGTTCATTCCGTCGTTTTGTCGCTGAAACTGCTATCTAGCGCACTTCCTTGCAACGATTTGTTCACACACGTCTTAACAAAAAGGATTACAATCATGAAAATGCTTAACATACAACCGATTCGGGAAAATTGAAATAGAAAGCAAAATCTACTACAAGTCACTGTCCGGATTCCGTCATTGTATGATTAGTTTATAGAAATAAACATGTATCATGAGCTTTATTTATCGATCGCTTCCCTTAGTGGGAAGATGGTTTGCTGTCTGGCCATTCTGGAATAAGAAAGGGCAACTGGACCAATGCTAGTGAAATGCCATTCACCCACTCAGTGATGGCTTTTCGCAGAAATCACGATTTGAAAGACACATCGGACCTCTGCTGCTCAAGATAGAAAACTGGATAGTAAAAATCATTTCGAACTCCTTCTACCTCGGCTGATGCTTCATACCGTAAGGACCTTCAATGGGAAACACAGGGCATCAGAGCAATATTGGGCGCCCATTCACAATGCAGAAATTGCCCAAAATCGACGCAACCCGATTGTCTTGGAATAATCATACTGGGGAAGCGGCCCACATATCTCTCTGCCACGCTAGTCTACACAATTCTGTATTAGTGTGCCGAAAGGCAAAGGCATTGCTACACGATATAGGAGCACGACTGTTCGAGCAACGCCGCCCTTGAAAAGCCTTGACATATCTTCAGCCCCACACCGACCTACACAACAGGGTAAGTGACTTAGTAGGGAATCTTCGTTTATTTCTCAACGCAGAAAGCGGTCACTTCAATATTGCTTTCTGTTTGATAATCTTCCACCAACATGATTGTAATTTTAATTTGGGACTTCTCGACCACATTGCTTTTTTATTACCGTTTTACTTTGTTACCGTAATTTTTGCCCACCCTGTAGATGCGCTCTCTTCGTTGCACTAGTCGCAATTTGATCGAATATCAT